TGAAAGGCAAAATACAAACTAATCGATCATAAACTATATGTTGAAAAATACAAAAGTGAGATAAAATACAAAATTATAAATACAAAGTGATATTTTACTTCATAGTAAAAATCAAAAATTGTTTCTTAGTAATTAAAATTGTATTATTGACTGCCATATTTTTCTATTATTTTCATAACAAAAAATATTACTAATTGTATTACAATATAATCCAATCATTACAAATGAATATGATTTAAGAATGGATAACTTTTTTAGAAAAATAGCATACAAAGTGAAAATAATGCAATCAGTTGAGGAGTGATGCAATATTCTAAAAGAAATACAAATTAACTGTGAAAAGAAATATAATATATCTATACTTAATAAATACAAATCCATTTGGCATACATATTGAAATAAATACAAACTAAAAATGAACTACAACATTCTTATTAAAATACAAATGCTGAAAACAAAAAAACAATTGACAAATAAAAACTAATATGAATACAATTTTTGCAACCTTTTTTCTCTAAATCTCTCAATCTTTTTCGTCTGTAGTGTTTCTTTCCTTTTCTTTTTTCACCAAATCCAAATCCAAATCTCTATTCACTTGTGCATTAGTAAAACTCTACCTCATCATCCCAAAAAAATATAATTGCCCAGAAAAATGAAAAAACTTCCATGTCAAAAATTCTAAACACATAAATGATTCAACACTAATACTTGATCGATTTTGTATTTCACCGATTATATCGAAGTTTCAGTTAAAAATTTGTTCTCCAAAGTTGTTTGTCAATGAAATTATATCCGTTTTTTAAATCTTCTTGTCAAATAGAAAAAATGCAAATTTAATCGAATTCACTTCAATAAAGAAGACTTTGGTATCACAACCAACGTAAGAGAGTTGATGATCGTGAGGAAGATGTTGAATTTTCCCCACCATAGCTAGACATTAGCTTAATCTTTTGATTCTCCATTGTCGCTGCCGCCAAAATTCATGGGATAGTGATGAAGTTGACAGATGGTTTGATTTTTTTTTTTGAGATTTTCTTTTTTTATGTTTAGATGAGAGATATTAAGAGATATGTTCCTTTTTAAATATATTGAATTTGTAAAAGATAAATATTTTAAGTGATATGTTTCTTTTCTAAAATATTCTCTCCCCTAAATTTATCCTTTCTATTATTAAAGAATTGTATTCTTTCAATTAAAACAAATATAAACAATGTGAATTAGATACATAACAAACTAAAATATTGATAGTTCAATAAATATTAAAAATATGGCTAAGGAATTCTATTAAATGCTAAAATATTGATCTAGAGATCAAAATATTATTGAAATAGTAACATCAAAGCTCATGAAAAGTAGATAAAGTCTATAAAGTAGCAAAATTTATGTTGTTTATCCATATATTAATATATATTTTTATTTTATTTATAAGTAAAACCAATTTTTGTACATCCTAATGATAATTTTTAGGGCTATTTGGTAGAGTGTATAAAAACAATGCTCTATAGAGTGTATTAGTAATGTTTAATTAATAATTCTTGTATTAGTTATGAATATATTATTTCTTATGCATTGTTCGATTTGATGTATTAAAATGCATCGTATAAAAATATTTATTTACAAAAATATCTTCCACAATTATGGCTGAAAAGATGTAAAAAAAAACTTTTGAAAGATAATTGAGTCTTTAATCATGCTAATGCACATATCAAATCTTTTGGTATTATTAATACCCAAAAATGCATGATTTTAGTAATACACTCGTTAATACACAATAGAGTGCATTAATTATACTTATGCATAACATAAAGAAGTACCAAACAAAAAACTACTATTACACAAAACTAATGCATACATAATTTTACTAATACACTCTATCAAACAATTTCTTACTAATACACTCTACCAAACGATGTCTTAATGTCTAAACATCATACGAAACTCGATGCATACAGGATCCATTATTAAAATATAATGCATCTCACAACATGTGAATATGGCAGGGCCTCTTTATTATTCTTAGCGTTTGATCATAGATTTTCAAATATTCTTGGCAAATATTATTTAGGTGAAAATTTGAGTGAAATTGTATCATGTGCTTGGCCATGTTATTTGGAAAATATATTTCACTTTTTTAGAAAAATATGATTTATACCCATAAGTTTTAAAAACTATCAAAACTAACTATAAGTTTGTATTACAAGTAAATTTGATCTTCGCTGCAACAAATAACTAGGAGTATCCACGATACAAGAGCAATGAGGTAGTCTGGAGTGAGTGCAAGAAGTAGCACTCCATACATCGTGAAGTAGAGACAAAGCACGTGACTTTGCGAATTGTTCATCATTTTTATCAACAATCATATCATCACTTTCATATTCACTAAATATTTCATCACTACTTTGGTGTTCACGTAAAAATTTATGTAATACAACTCAAATACTACATATGGTGGTTTTGTAAAAGATAAAAGTTTTCTGTAAAATTTCAATTTTTAAAAGATCCCAAATAATGAAATTTGACCTAAACACTAGAAAAAATTAGTATTTGAGAATTTGAGATATTTGCCAAAAATATTTGTCAAAGAATGACAAATTTATGAATTAACACTATTCACCAATTTTTCCCCCAAATATTATTTAAAAAATCTATGCCAAACGGCCCTTTAATCTGTTGACTTAAATGCAATTGAGATTGCATTTATTCCACCCAATAATAAAAATAAAAAAAGGCAAAACAAAGAGAAAGTAGTAGTAGTATTTGAATTGGGTCTGACTTAAAATGTGCTTTGATTCTAGTAGGAATAATTAGGGACCTACAACTTTTAAGTGGCCGGTATTTACAACTTCACAGTCAACTCAACTGTCGATTTTAGCTTCTTTTGTTTATTCATGAATAGTCAATGGCTTTTCGATGCTAGTTTGGGATCCAAACTTCACCTAAAAGCTTTGGACTATTCATCACACCAAAAGATACCGACCTCTTTTGGCCCAAAAAACACATTAGAAGGGCTGCAAAATATTGGATATTTACCTATAGAACAAGTACTTGGTATGCAAAAAGGAATTACAATCACATCGATAATAATCACAATATAATAGTCCCATTTTATGTGATACACGTTTCTTTTTTATCTGTTCCGAAAAAAAGATGTTCAGTCAAACGGTGCAGACAGAGAGAATAACAACTTAATCAAGTGGGAGTTTTCTAGTAGCGGCGATCCAATGTGTGTTTGGTAGAAACCAACAGCTTTCAACTTGAACTCTATACATGTATGTAAATAAATAACAAGACACTCTTTCAACTCAAAATCAGGAGTGTCTAAACCCTGAATCTGACAAGGTTGATTGGTTTTATGGAAACGAAAGAAACAAGTAAAAAAAAATTAACTCAAAATGTACCAACTGGCCCCTAAGTAATTCAAAAAGGAAATAATAGCAAAGCAAATGCCACTGAACAAAGCATCCATGTTACAGAACAACTGTAAGTGACATGAACATTAGTACTCTAAAGAAAATTGGGCCCTCAAGTACTTCATATGTTGGAAAATTGCATGTGAGCTGCAGTAGGCAAATCCAGTAAGGAAAAGTTCCCCACCCAAAAGGTTATGGCCTAGTGGAAGTGGTTGAGAATTCTGAGGTTTCGGGCTCAAAACTCGCGGAGACAAAAAACACTAAGTGATTCTTCTCATTTATTTTATCCTTGGTTGACAGAGTTATCTGGTACCTATTGTTGGTGGGAGGCGGCCAAATATCCCGTGGAATTAGTCAAGGTGCATGAAAGCTACCTCTTGTTGGTGGGAGGCAATCAGATATCCCGTGAAATTAGTAGAGGTGCATGAAAGCTAGCCTGGACAGCGACATCCAAAAATAAAAATCCCCACACATCCTTCATAACGAGGCTGCAAACATGAACCTTTTTCTGAAAATGTGACAGCTGAGTTGGGCTTTCCTAAGACATGGGATATAGGTGTTTCCACTTGTTCTACACTCCATAACCACCCCTATCCCCCCCTGTATTACTAAAAGAGGTTACTGAATTATCCATGTACCTTTCCTTCTTCTAGCAATGTCCCAAGCAATTATTGGTACTTGGTTGCCCCTAACTTTAAGTCACTTTTCTAGGAGAATGTAAAAGTAATTATACTAGACATCCTTCAAGGCAACAAAAGCAAACTATGATGAGCTCTTTGCTTTCAAACACCTCAAGAACTAAACTAGTCACTAATCTCTAAGGCATGTCATAAATGCTATGACATTAAGCTTAATTCGATTTACAAGAATGGAAACCTAATCAACAAAGCAATAAACCTAGAGCTTTTAGCTAATATCCTAAAAACACAGCAACAAACAGAGAGCTTTTACCTAATATCCTAGAAACACAGAAACAAGCACAGAGATTTTAGCTAAACATCCTTAGGTTTTCACGATTCGACTCTTTCAGCCTCAAAACACATACTTATTTCCTCAAGGTTCCCAAGTCCTTTTAACTAGTTGCAGGAAACAAGCACCGCTCAGCTAATTTGGAGGCTTTACAATCCCTTGATAAAATTTCATCATTCTTCAAGGATTTAAGTACACAAGGGTAACTCTAGCTAGGGAAGGCAACTAAAACTTTATAGGAAGGCAACCTTTGACGAGGAGAAGAAAGGTTCACGCTGAAAGTACAAGAGCTATGACAGAGTTCCATTAGTTGAGCTTCACTAACAGGCTTTCCCTCACATAGTTGAAAGCATAAAATTTGAAGACCAAGGCTGTTACTTCTTGACCATAATATGTAAATGGAGTTCCATTTTAAGGAAATACAAATTATTTATCAGTGATACAGATTACTATTGAACTAAATTTAATATATAGAAACGGAAACATTCCTTGTAAACCTTCCGTCATAGGTGAGAATCACGTATTGAACCTTATTAACTGTCACCAAGAAATGCAGTGCTGAGTGCTTCTTTGAAAAAAATGGTGTTAAAGGTGGTAACAGCCTAAATAATCACAAAACAGTGCGTCCATTGACCAATTTATATATCAATGTTAGCTTATGCAAAACACCAACAATGATTGTACTAAATGTAACCGCAAGAATGACAAGAGTACACAATGATGCATTATATGTGGCTCCACCTGAATAATTCTCATCCAAGAGATAATGATGATGAATCATATCAGACTTCTATTGTGGAAGTTGGCCTAATTAGAGAATGTGTTTTGTCATGGAGACTGCTCCTTTGGATAAGCCAACTCCTCCATGTGCCAGCTTTCATGGGGAGCAACATGGTCATGTGAAGGAGTATATTGCTGCAATTGATGAACAAGATAAGACTCATCAGCAAAATGTGTAAATAACAATAACAGAACTCATATCAATGGAAGGGGCACAATTAGTAATGAATTCCTACCATAAGGATCTACATTTCAATGAAAGGGGGACAATTAGTAATGAATTCCTGCCATAAGGATCTACATTTCACATTTTAACATTATAAAACAAGCGACTCCAAGAGAAATGTACAGAAACCAACAGTAAGAATATTTTCAATCTTCCATTGAACAGGTGAACCAAAGGACAGTCCTAGCTACAAAAGTTATCATTTCCATACCCACATCGTTGAGCGTTGTTTTTATTTTCACCTTTAACTGGTGAATTCACAAGAAGAGATTACTTTGCAGATAAAATCTCAGTAGCTGAAAGATTTAAAGACTACTTCCAGAAAACAATAACAGCAGTATATTAGTATGAATTCCTTATGTCAGACAAAGCTTTCTGTGTAGGATAGATTTTCTTTAGAGTAAAGATGGTAATCATACTGGTGAAAGAAAAGTACCGACCTCAAAGACTGATTTAATCCACGTGTAGTTTTAAACATAACAAAGAAATACATGTAATTAGGTAAAGTCATCACCTCCATCTTGCTTAAAAGCTCTCTGGCTGAAGGAGCAGCAAGAACAATGTCACGAGCCCCTGGCTTAATGAAACCTTCTTCAACACCATTGTCAAATAGTGCAAGCAAAGAATTATAATAACCCTCAACATTTAGCAAACCAACCTGAAGAAGAGGTTAAGATGGTGAAGATCTTGCAGGTAACAATCCAACAATATGAATGTAATGCTACAGATACCGGTTTTTTGTGAATTCCAAGTTGTGCCCATGTTATCATTTCCAGAGTCTCCTCCATGGTTCCATATCCACCTAAACATAATAAAAGCAATTTAAAAGTTGTCTGGGAGCATATGTATCTCAAATGTACTCTTACAGATATTTACCTGGAAGTGCAATAAAGGCATCAGCCTGAATAGCCATTTCAGCTTTCCGCTCATGCATGTCCGAAACAATTTTTACGTCACCAACACTTTCACCTGATATCTGTCAGTGCCACTCAGGTTGAAAGTGTAACTATTACAATCGAAACAACACCACAGAATGCAAAATCAATGTTACACTAGTAAAGTAAACTATTTCTTACTATCGGATGCTGCACCACTCAATCATTAAACTATTTCATATCAGTGACAACATTTCAGCAAAAGAAAGCCCGTAGCAATAAATTCGGGGGGAAAGAGAGAGATTGTAACTCAGATAAAACTCCAAGCAGAAGAATATAAAACAGTTCATACAAGAGAATACAAAAAGAGAACCAAATAGATGGCAGCTCAAACAAATAGCAAAATTTGCGTTATAAGTTAATCTCCATTTACCTCAATAGGCACAAGAGCTTTCGGGATGACCCTGCATATTGAAAGCAATCAAGAATAAGTCGAAATCCTACATCAGAAATAGAAAGTAGACCTTACATACATTTTGCCATAGTAAACTTGAAATAATATTACTAATATTTTACTTACCCAAGGACATGGCAACCTCCCTCCTGGACTCTCTGGGAAATCAATCCCATCAATCCAACACTTCCACCACCATAGACCAAGTCAATTTTCCTACTTACCTGCAAACAGCATTATCAAAGTCAAAAAAAAAAAACTTAAATCTGAAACATTAAAAGCCAAGTCACTTCCATTTATGGTGATATTAAGAAAGTCAATGCCTACTATTCACAGTACCATAAACCAATATTAAAACGGTCAATAGAAGAAACACCAACAGTACCAAAAAATCAACATAGTTTGCAAAAAGTTAGGAACTTTATGGCAACACAGCTGTGGATAACTAGATATACACAAATCCCGAATTGACCCCAAATCAGAGAGGATTGACGAATCAAGACTAACCAATTCATTCCCCAAATCAATAGCAGCATCACTGAAGACTTTCCTGTGGCCAGGGTTGCTTCCACAGAAAACACAAATTTTCTTGAACTTGCTTCTACTATTACTTTCCATTGAACCCCTTTTGATTAAATCTCCAAAAGAACTCACCTTTATCTTCTTCTTCTTCTTCTTGCCCCCACTCTCAAATTTTACAGAATCTCTCTGTACGGATTCAAAGAATATGAATTATTTTTTTAAAAAAAAAAGGAAAAGAGTGAGATAAAAGATAATCAAAATATTTGCTTAGATTGATTGAAAAATCATAAACAACCCCATAGTTTTAGGCGATTAGATTGAATAATTAAGAATTATTAATACTCCTAAATAAAAATAATTAAAGGTGAAAGAAGTAGTACGTATCATGGAGAGGAGAGTCCTGTCTTCGTGATGATTATTATAAAGGGAAAGAAAAAAGAAAAAGGTGGCAGTTTAAATGATTTTTTTTTAATAGAACAAAAGTTGTCTTTTTATTATTAAGGCTGCTTATTAGTACTAATAATATATATGATTATTTAGCCCCTCTATTTTTTAATCCCTGCAAAATAGTTACCCTCTCTTGTTTCAACAATTTTAGACCACCACTACAAGTTGATAACCTAGGCTATAATTGGAAGTGTTTTATTCATTTACATTCAAAACAAGTGTAGAACACTTTGATTAAAGTTAGGTTGATGTACACTTGTTTTAACAAAATTGTCATGACCAATAGAAGGTAACTTTGTCCTACATGTATTTAAAAGAAGATTAGTCAGTGTACATGGAGTAAGGAACCGAAATTACGTGTCAAACTTAAAAAGCTATTGAAATAACATGTTATCAATTTTATCACGTATTTTTTTCATTTTATATTAAGTTAATTTTTAACTATTTCATTTTTTATAGGTGGAACGGTCTGATGGACTCTTCTACTTGTATATGTTTGTATTTTGCACCTTTTTACTTAATTATTTATCAATTGAACTAATAAACTCTATGAAATCCTATGTTTTAATTCAATCTGACCGTTGACCAAGTTTTAGACAATTTAATTATTAAGTTGACACAAAAATATAATATCACACATAAAAAAAACGTAAAAAATCAAATTTTTGACTAAAAATAATTTTTTTTCTCTTTAAAAGTAGAATAAAAGATAATAAAAAATAGTAAAATTAACTATTTTTTTAAAATTCTTTCTTCTCTTCCCACTTCTACTCTCAACCTCCATTTCTCTTCTATCTCCCCTTTCCGGTCCTTTTCCAATTTTTTATTTATCTTCTTCTTCTTTTTTTCACTTTTTAATCCTTTAGGAAAAAGAAACGAAATTATATTGTTGTTGTAAATCTATGTTTTTTTTATTTTTGGGGTAACTTATAAACCATAGAGTGATAAAAATTCAACAATCTTGAAAGATGAAAAGTGATTGTTTAATATTTTTGTAAAATTAGGTGAAATATGTTATGTAAAATTGTGTATAAATATTAGAGTATATTCATGTATTTAATGATTATTTGTTAACATCAATGAGGAAAATAGATTTACGGTGGTTTAAGTGGTAGATGTGAATGTTGGTAAAAGAAATATGATTAAAAGTTTTGAAGGAAAGAATTTTTTTTAAAAAAATCGAATGATAATTATTAGTTATTTAGAAATGTAATGATAATAGTGAGAATAGAAGGTTGTGGTGGTATCTCCAATGTAAAAAAAAAAAGATGGAGAGAGATGAAGAGATGAAGGAGGATTGAAGTGAAAAAGAAAAAAAATCAAAGTTTTTAATAAAAAAATCATAATAAGTGATGTGTCATTTAAAATATGAAATAGATGATGATATGTCATTTTTATCGAGAATGTGAAGTTCACACAATGAAAGGGGTTTAAAATGCTTTGTTTCACTGACTTAAAGGGTTCAATTGATAAATGATCAAGTAGAATGATTCATAATACAAACTCATATAACTATAAGGGTCTATCAAATTATTTTTCCTTTTACAAATTAACTTAATTGTTCAATTTTAAAGACTACTTTTAGAGTGTTCTTCCAATTTTACCATTCATTATTTAGTATTGGAATTACTGATTAATAAATATTTAATTATTTAAATCATAAATTTAACAATAATTAATAAGAATAAAAATAAAAAACTAGATTAAATTTATCTCTTAACCTACTTTTCTCAAAAAGTTTAACGCCTTGAAAATTAACCTAATATCAAAATAAAGGGAGTACTATATAGTGTGCACTATGTAAGATATATCAACGGACCAAGCCTTTAATGATCCTTTCGATCAATGGTCTTATATAGCACACATATTTAGTGCACCTTTTATACTTTTTAGTGTTTCTTTTTTTTTTTTTTGGATCAATTACCTAAAGAGACAATTTAGTCATATTAATTACGAAAAAGCTAGATTTTTGTATACCCTCGTCGTTTTCATCCTTGTTCTTCTTCTTCCTTTTCCTCTTCTTCCCCCTCCTCTCCCTCTCTCCCTCTTCCTCCCTCTTTTAAAAAATTAATGTGCCACAAATATAAATCGTTTCGAACAAATTACATATCAAAAGATTCAAAAATCAAGAGGATTTTATATCTAAAATTCAGAATTATTTTGAGGTGATTTTGAATTGATTGAGATTGAATGTTGAGTGTATACTTTATATATAGTCAACATATACTTCATCTATGGCTAAACTATATTTAGTTTTTCGAGTGTATCATAATGTATAGTCAGTATATAGTTCATGTGTAGGTAAGCTATATTATATAGCTCGTGTATATATTTTTTATTACTTTTTACAAGCTATATTGTATATTCGCTATATACTTTTTGTGATTTTTGGATATTTTTATGCGAATAAATACATGACTATACTTGTTGTAACTAATTCTGAAGTGTCCCTTTTTGGTAGTTTAAGTTTATAAATTTAGACTTTTAGGTTAGGTTTAATTGTGTTGCAAGGCTTATTCGTCTATCCTATTTTTTTTATTAGTTAGCTCGATATATTATTGTAGAATTACCTAACTACACATATTTTTTAAAATTATATTTTCTAGTATTTTCTACCATTCCCAAAAATTATAAAAATTCCTCTTTTCTACAGTTTTCCTTACTTTTCTGGATTCGTCAGTGTAAATTATCACCCCACGATTTTTTTTCTTTTTTCAAGCCTAAAATCACTCCATGGTATCACCAATTATCTCCATCACTCTATATTTAATTTCTATTCTTTTCTCTTTTCAATTATCGATTGCAACTTATTGAAGAGGTAGTTCTTATTAACTTTTTCTTCGTTCATTTTTTTTAGCTTTTTCATCTATAAATTTAGTTGAAGAAGGATGCATCTTCAACTTTAAAATCGATTGAGGAATAAATACTCAAAAAGGAGGAGGGGGGGTCAAGTTGTTGGTGACTCTAGTAAGGGCTTTTGGTCGAGATTCATACGTGACATCATTATTGAAAGTGAAAAAACTACGGGAGTCGATACAAAGTATAGGAGAAAGTGTGTAAGGATTTTTTCATCTTTTTTTTTTGGCTGCTTTTCGCATATCAAATTATTGATTTTTTGAAAATCGTTGGTGATTTTAGTAAATTTTTTCATGTATCTAGTTTATTTTAATTTTTAAATTAATGTATAATTCATTTATTTTCTCTTTATGATACACTGCAATTTTATCATGTACAATACATTTTTTTTAATATATTAATTTTGATACATAACCATAATTTATTGAAACACTATTAATATATGTATCATGTTCACAGTTATGTATTGGATACACAACTCTTATAAATTTTATATTTTACTACCAGATACATACAACCATCCTTATAAACTGGAAGACGGTGTATTTGTAGATAATGTTGCTCCCTGTTGCATACACAAGTTATATAGTGGCTCCAAAAGAGCTAAATTATTGAAACCAAAAGACTTTTCGATTAAATTATTTTTATTAAATTATAGTGATCTAATTATTTATTCAGGAGTTCCAAAAGAGTTAATTTATGTTTGACTACTAAAAATGCACGAACGAAAAGATAAAATTACTTACAATGATTGAAAAATTTCAGGGCTGCAACATGCTTTAAGGTTTCATGTATCACATCTTATATAATGAGTTATGATCATGATCTTCCGACCTCTAATCACTTACTCCAATTGGTTGTCTGACTGCATCGTTGAGCAGAGATAGATAAACTCAATTGGCTAGCATTTATATTTTATCTTGTTAAGTAACCAATCTCGATGTTTGTTTGGGCGTCAATTCTGAACACAAATTTGAACAAGTGATATTTATGTGAGATTGAGCTCTTTGTATTTTTTGGTCTATCTACCTCTTTATCTTCCACATCCAAGAATGGACAATATATTTAATTATTTATCTCTATAATGATCAAACATGAAGTATTAAAACAAGAATACAAAGTAATTTAAGCAACAAACAACATTAATTCAAATAGTTGGGCTATGTCATTGGAATAATTTGTTCCTACTATAACTTTTTGATAGGGTAACACATTATCCAATGAGAAAAATTAGTTATGCTACCGGTCATTGAATCCTTGACCGCTAAACCTTGGAAACTCACCCTAGACAATCTATTAAGAGTTTGAGAATTTGACATGGGAGGCAAGGAATGAGATCGGGGATAATAGTTGTCAGGGTTATTTGGATAAGCTGGTTGATGACCAAAGTGTAAGTGTAAAGGAATGGAATTTATGGGGGTACATGTAAGGAGTAAGTGTGGTGGAATGGAGCTTTATATGGAGGTAATTGGTGGGGGGAAATACGGGCTTTGCACAGTAAATGTGATGGGATTGAATAATGGTTAGGGTGTCGGATTGTTTTTCTCAGTGGATGGATGGGATAAATGCCTATATCGCTTTATAATGTTATTGTTATGTTGATGTTATATTAAAGAAATTAATGTGTTATCCACCGAGCACTACTCTATCAGAAATCAGAATTGGGATTTTGGTGATAGTTGATATCAATTCGTAACAATGCATATATTTTTGAATATATCTGTCACGCCCGAGGCTACACCCTAGACGTAATACGAGACCTAGAATCATAAATGACCCCAAGCGAACCCTGAGTTTGGCATATTGTTGCACCTAGTGAATCCAACAACTTAAGATAGAGCTCCATGTGTAGTTCAATAACTTAAAAAGGGGTTTTAAAAATGTTAAAGGCCTTATTTTATGCTAACCAACTTAGTTTGGGAATATAGGTTGATAAGAAATTAACAATGACCATGACATCCGGTGAACTAGTAACCTAGGCTAGTCTGGTGCTACTGATGGTAGGATGGATCAATAGGGGTGTCTAAGGATTTGACCATGAAAAGATCATGAATATGTATATAGGTACATAAGAAAGGGCTTAAGGGATCAAGGCCAAGGGAGGAGTGTCAACCTTGAGGGTCAATCCAAAGCCAAAGGCCAAGGCTGCCCAAAAGAGAGGCTACTGTCTCGACCTTCACAAGTATGACCATGGCTCGTGGGCAAGACCACGGGCAAGTGGGGAG